ACGGTACCGGGACAAGTGAACAAGATAGAAAAGTATATGACATCTGTAGTCTATCTCTGAATATTGGTTGAGCGGTCGTCTCCATTGAGTATAAACGTAAGAAGGTCAGGCATTGTTTGAGTCTGTAATTTCCCATTACGCTGCGGATACTGAACTGACATGTCTTTCTGTGAAAGTCTGTTCTGGGAGGAAGCTGATGCAATGTATTCGGTCGGGTGGTTGGGGTCTGGATGAAGACATGTTGATAATGTAAAAACATCACAGCTCAAGTATTTACTTCCTGGTCTTGCCTGGACATTATACTTCCTATCATCCCATATTGCGTGCTGAAAGCTTTGTGCATTAAAAATGATAACCTCGAGCTACAACTGTTTTGTACCACAATGTAAATAAAAACCTACTGCAAATAACAGTTTGACTTTTTCTGCTTATAAAATGACGGATAACTGTCAGAAACAAATAGGCATACCGTTTTGCTATGTACTTTAAAAGCATCCACTATGCGATGATAGTTTACCTCAAAGCTACACCAGTATTCATTTTGTGAACAAATGGTAGGTACGTTATGTCTAAAGTTTGCTCTATTCCGTTACTGAAGCGCGGTAGATTGATCTACTCACTACCCACCACCGAAATATCCAGAAGACCGAATTCTAATTTGTTCGTAAATTACAAGTGATCAGCCCAAAAGCTATTGTTCAAACAGTAATTATTGTAAGTTCGCTACAAGCCTACAATTTTCGGGTTTACGGAGCAAAACTTACAACATACCAGACCAAAACACTGAGAAACCGAGAATGTTCAGGTTCAAAATCCTAAACCAACAAGTCCAAAATTGAGTATAACAGTTATATCTATCCAAAACAGTGAAAATGTAAGTATTCAATGTAACAATTAATCATCAGTTAAACGCTTACACTTCCTCCTGTAGTGGGTATCGACACCCTTGCCCATGATAAATTATATTTAGGAGTCATTTAGTGCCAAAATATATTATTTCAGTTATAATTCGAGGAGTACTTTGAATGTTTTGTGTGTTCGTGAAAATCCCTCCATGTGCATACTTGACCTTTGTTCCTATTGATCCCTTTCATTGTACATTGTTAGTTTTTGATTACATTTGAATTGTTAATATTTGTATTTTACTGTGGTTTTCGTTTTTACTACACCTTCATTAATTCCCCGTGTTTCTTCCCGATCTGCACTTATGTTGTTTTACTTTATACTAAGTCTTGGCGTCAGCCATATTGGTTTGTTCCTGCTTTTGATTGCTTGCCCTGTGTTGACTGGAATTGTGCAATTCGGTTGTGAAGTGAAGCACTCTTCCAGAATTGAAAACACACTGTGTTATAGAGCGACCAATTATTACCTTTTGAACGAATCTGTACGTGGTCTATCCAGACAGGATAGAATAGCATTTATTTGTTGTGATTGGTAATTTCCTTGCATCCTTTATCAACTTTCTTATTTATTGTTATTTAGATTTGATCAGTTGAACAATTATTGGTTGGATAGCTGAGTGGTTATATTTGTTCAGGTAATAATGTACACTTAAATTCATGATAAATTATAGAACCGTCATCGTACCCAATTACTTTGTTTTGGTTTCAAACGGGCGAGGGCGCGTATCTAACTCATCCAGACAGCTGTCCATCAGTCCAACCGTAGTTTGGATCTTACACTAATTATTGGTGTCTTTTCATAACTTTGATTTTTCTCTGATTGTACAAAAGCGATTAAAGTAAATCTAACACTCTTGCTGCTAGAGGGAAATAACCTAGATTGTGAGTAACAAGCAAATAAATTACGAAAATTAACGTTTAATAACCGAAATCAACTACAGAGTGGAGAAGTAGCGATTCCAAAAATAACCTCATCATACCTCAGAAAAACCTAGAACTTATCTTTTATCAGTGTCACATCTCTTGATACCAAACTTTAACTTCACCCAACAAATACTTGCACATTAATATGCCCAATACTTTGATCACACACCAATTTCTTCATAAGAAAGTTTTATGGACTTGTAGTGGCATTAGACAATAGCCACACAATCCACAAAGCTGTGAACACGAGACTGCTCAGAAAATAGATATTCAATATTTAACGCGGAGAATTGGAATTGCTCGGCCATGCAGGCGTGGTCTCTGCCGAATGTTTCCTTATATCTTCTATTCATATTAAATATATTGTTCCTTCTCTAGCCTAACCTTGTTCTACATCATGTATTGGTAATTGATACGATACAGTGAGTTGGTGTAGTCCATGGTGTGACTTCCACGTAAGATCTTATAGATCAGGCAGTTATATCATGACGAATCTACAAATTCGGGATTAGGTCTATTATTAGAGCAGTACTAATATCATAGTAGACCATAATTCTACAGACTAACCTCTGTAACTAGGTTGTAATCCCCCATTAACTGTCCATCTCGTGTTTAAAGCTGGCTGATATCCAAAAAATGTGTGATAATAACTATACCTACAACGCACAATCAATATTTGTGACATGAAGATCGATCTAATGTCATCTGAAGGCAGACATAAGTTGAGAGGATGAAGCCTAAAAAATATGGATTCTCACATGTGATATTCTCTACGGATAACCAATTAGGAAAACACTCAACAAACAGGCACAAGTTATTGCGTTTGGTAGAAAGAACAGCTCACCCTTTTTTTTCTAAAACGTACGAAAGTGACGACAAATTGATGCACAACTTTACAAAAAGCAGGACCTCTTGTCATTAAATACACTGGATTCATGTTCTAAAGCCAGTCACACCTCATACTTCATTGTCCTAAAAATTAACGGGTACAAGTTCGCCTTACTGTCACCAAGTGGGACTCTAGGTTTTGCTTACAACGTCCGACATCTCAAAGACAATCAAAGTCTGTCAAATACCGAACCTTTTGAAATCACTCAGGCAATGAGGTGTTCGAATCCAAATTATCCTGCAGTTTCAAGTACAATTCAGACCATGAGGACGCCAACAACCTATGAGCTTGCAAGTAAACATTTACTTTCGGCTCACGAGTCGCTTTTTATTTCACATTTTTCACCAAGGAATAGGGTTTAGATTCTAGATTATGCGGCACAGTAAGCATTTGTTTTCACTGTTGTCATGTATCTTATGAAATGAATGCTATAATGTGGTTGCTTCTTCGGACTCTGTGTAGAATGAAGAAAGAGCTATTTGAATTGATCTTTACATACATAGAACCTCAGTTAAAAAGTTTAAACTTTACTCTACTGATGCCTAAAAGTGGTAATCAGTTTTATGTAAGAAGTTCGCTGTAGAGAGGACAAAAAGTGCTTGGATCGATGATTAGATGTACTTGATTTATATTAATGGATTTGAATTTTAACTGAGAAAGATGAAAGAATAACCACAAATATGGTCATGATTTGTCGAGTGGTTCACAGCCGTCTTCGTCTTTGAACCACTTAAAGGCTTTATCTCAGCTACTTTTGAAGAACATACGACCACAGGCTGTCGGACTTAAAAAGCACAAAAGAAGTCACGTAGTCTGTTTTGTCAGATTAGGTAACCAAGTTTAATAAAGGGAAACCTATTAGCACAAATCAAATAGATAGGGGGAACTCGGAGAAAAATTCCAACTTTTGATATGAAACCCGGTTGTGAAAACGAATAGTTTAATCAAATGCTATGCGTGACATTCAACTGAAAGTAATGGGGACATCAAATACCAGATACCGATCTTGCATTGTAAACTGATTGTTTGGATACATTTGTAGGTCGCTGACTTGAAAATCAGTACCACTTGAAGTCAATAGCCTTTTTGTCCAAGGATGTAAATAGATGAACCTGAGAGAGTTAATTTGACTAGCGCGTAGTCCACACCACGAGTTTATGAAACGGCAAGAATGCCTGAGTGTGTCTCTGGTTGATTAGGTCATAAAATAGAACGATATGGTGGAATCTCGAATATCAGTCGAGGTATTAACCAGAAAAATTCTTTATCGCAACAACGTGGTCGATTTATTAATTATATATTGGATATGTAACGTAGCTTCGAGCTCCAAATAATATGTTACTTTTCTTTAACTAGATCATGAAAGCTGATAGATTGAAGTAGGTGGTCTTCAGAGTTAAAAATAAAAACCATCTTATCGGAGTATTGGTTCGTCGAACGAAATAATTAGGTATTATAACTTTTTGCCAGAACAAAAGATGTCAGTAATTTAGATGCTAAAAATAGCAGGGTTAGCTTAAAGATGAATACAAATATAGACATACGCCTCCGACTACTTGTAGTAAACCAGATATTATACGTAAGCTCTATGGAGCAAGATACATATTCGTGAATTTATGGCGCGTAGATCACTAATGTAAATGATCTACGCTGTATGACTGGGGACCTACTAGAGTTAAATGGGAATGTTGTGATCAATAGCTAACTTCAAAGTTGTACCCTTCACTCAGCACTAATCGTGGATTATCCCTCCGTCATATCAAGGTACTATGGTTGCTTTGATATCGTAAAACACAAGGGACGCTATTACGGAAATATAATAGTAAGAATGGGTACAGAGAAAATAGTGCGACCACCACTGCATGTGCAAGTTCATGGAATGCGATTAATTGGTTGTCTTTGGCATTGTCGGGGGCCGATAAACTGTTCGACATTCAGTGACCGAACTACCGGATTGTTTGTCCCATGCTCAATACCAATGCACTAGCCCTTCACAAGCAGCTTCATTTCATTAGACAGTTTGTGTGAAATATCCAGCATTTTCTCACTTACTTGGTGAACGGCTGCTGAACGCAAGAGGCGAATAATTGGTGAGAGATTCATTTTAAGATTTTACTTCACTTAACCTATTATTTTAGTTCGGTAAGAAAGGATGCAACAGCATCATGACGAAATTTTTGGATGATTGAAGTGAGGTCTCCGTGAAAATTAGCGACTTATTATTTGCTTAGTGAGTGAAAAAATTGTCAAAATGATGGATACCAAAAGTTTATTGAACATTTCATGTTCAATACAGGTCAGTTGTATATTGGACATTAACTTCGAGTATAAATAGTTTTCTGAGTGTCGTACGGAATTTGTATTGGGATTGTAACGTGCAGTATGAGGATGTTGGGTTGGTTCTGCGCTGTAATACTGTTCACACTGTTCAGTTCTGAGTTAGTCGAGTCGAAATTTAAACCGCGAACAAACGATAAGGTATTTTACTTACAACTGGAAATATTTTCCTAGGACTTAAGTAATTCACCACATACTCATGAAGGTGAACACAGTGCAGCATATGATCATGATGCATTTCTGGGGAGAGACGAGGCCAAGAGATTCGATGATCTGACACCGGAAGAAAGCAAACAGAAACTGGGGTATTTAACGTTTTTCTTTATCCTACATAAGAGCGTTTTACTCAGACTTGCTTATTATATTGTTAATATAAACGTTCATGTTTTTATCTGGCATGTTTGCCAGTCAGTCGCTTTTACCTGTTCTGGGTTATATTCATAAACTCAAAACGTCTTATAATCGAAATGTCTCATTTTCTATGGACTAAACCAGAGCTGTAAACAATTGTTTATAGTTAGGACTTTCCTAATTTTCATCGAGTAACACTATCGATGTACATTATCATGTGATGAGATTTGGCCTCATACTGGAGTGTGCCCCGGTGTACAAGTTTCGCGTTTAGTGTACAGCCATTTTTAAGCAGGCTTACTGGCTAAATCACTTCGGTTGTTGGATCAAAACCGTTCCTAACTTACGCTTCATAGCAACCCCTTCAAACATATGGTTGGGCTCATTTTCTGACCAGGCACTTAGTATTAGTCCGTCATGCTCAGGAACGATGGATACTCCGTTCTCGGTCTTCAAAAATAAACATTGCACGAAACACAAGAACTTCTGATAGCTATCATCGTTCAACGGTTTTAAGTTTTTGAATATTATTTTTCAGTGAGATTGTGGACAAAATTGATTTAAATAATGATGGTCAAATCACTTCCGAAGAAATGACTGTATGGATTAACAAAGTATCCAGAAAAATGCTCCTTGATGATGTTGATCGCGCTTGGAAAGATTTTGAATTGCTAGACGAAGACAAGTTGCCATGGGAGAAACATGTTGACGAGCTGTTTGGGGAAGACGGAGATTTAGAGGGTACGTTAACTTCTCATTTATTTTATACACTATGTGTCTATCGTCTACCATACATTATGTCCAGATTCATTTCTATCTTATAACAAAATTTTAATTGTATTTTCAGATGAAGATGATGAAACAAAGAAAGCCTATTCTGAAAAAGACAAGAGGCGTTGGATGGCTGCCGATGCAGACGGAGATGGGAAGCTATCAAAACTAGAATACTTAGCATTCCTTCATCCAGAGCATGAACCCAAAATGCGAGATGTCGTTATAAAGGTTAGCCCTGTGACAAACGATAAAAACAACTTGTATTTACTCCGCAATCATACGCTTACTCAAAAATACCCTATATTCACTTGCGAATAATTCCATAACATTCAGGTTATTTGGAGCAGTGTATGCTCTGTGGATTATGGTAATTCTATTTAGACCGTAATTTATAGTTTTTATTAGCCCAAAAATCCATGTTGGACCTACTTGAGCCTATCACACCTCATGGAGAAGTGTAGACCTCCCAACCTGGATTTTCCATTAAACACAGTCCTAAATAATGCTTTACAGTTGCTATTCGTTCATTTGATATCCGCTTCCAATTTCTAACGCAGCGTGTTCCTTGGTCTTCTTCTTTTTGTCCTTCACGATCCTTAATTAGCGCTTGTTTAGTGTTCTATCCACTTCAAACGTCGTTTTCTAATTTCCTCTTCAACTGGAAGCTAGTTCGTTCTCTGCTACAGTAGGTTGTTGCTGATGGCATCTGGTCAAAGAACATTGAGTACCTTGCGTAAAACATTGTTTATAAATAAGTAAAAATCAATAAACTGATGCAGAAACTTCTGCTACTCTGTATACCTCGACCCTCATTTGTTGGTGTGTATGGGATAAAAAAGCTAGGTTATCTTTGAAGTCCAAATCGTCTAGTTGCATCTAAGCTGTCCATTGTTTTCCATGCTTCACCTGAAATGTGGAGGTCTCTTCACAATCCACCCGACCACGAGAAGACAGAGAAGGGGCGAGAGTAAGCAGCCTTGTCTGACACAGATCTTCACTTAGAATGAGTGTCAGCCGTCATCTATACGCGACTTAGCAGTGTAGTCCGTCGTATGAATTCTGTTTGGTATTGACGGTTTTCCATGTTAATTTCTTCCTCGTCTCATATAGTTGTTTGATATTTCCTTCTCTTGCTGCTTTTCACACTGTCATTGCTAGGTGTTCTACGTATTTCTGCTTGTTGGCCGTAATGCTCCTCTTCACCCCCTTGTTTATTTCTGTGTACTCGGTCTGTGACATGGTTTTCTCTGCTCTTGTTCGACTGTTGTTAATTGCTGTCTTCTTCTTCCGGTCTTAAGTCTTGGTAATGGCTTCGAACGAGATGCATTACTTATGATGATGCTTCTTACGGCCTAGAATCTCCTGACACGTTGAAGTTAGTGCTTCTCTGATCCTCTGCCAGTTGTTCTCCATAGTAGTTCCCTCTTCTTTTAGTAGATCATGTAAGGCTTGAAACCCGTTTCTGAGAGCTATCTTGAATTCATTGAGTTTGTCAGTATATGGAAGAAAGGCTATACAGAATTTGTTTAATGCTGAGTCTCCAGTTGTCCAGTGTTTCTTTAGCTTCAATTCCTTGTTGGTCACAACCAGGTGGTGGTGATTTGAAGGTATGTCAGCTTTTCTCCTGGTTCTTCCATTTATCTTCTGGATGTTTTAGTGATGTAAATCTGATCGATCTAATTCTATGTAGTGTGATTTAGTGAAACCCATGTAACTTTGTGTATGAGTTTGTGTGGGAATACTGTCACCTTCAACCGTTTTGTTGAATGCACATAAATTTGCAAATCTTTCTTCATTCTCATTCCTTTTTCTTAATCAGTTCATGTTGTCTCATGATATTTTCCTACTTAGTATTATCCATTTGGACCTTGGCGTTAAGGTGTCCCATCAGGATGGTCAAGTCCTTACCTGGACAATTCTCTATGATCGATTGCAGCCTTTATTAAAACTCGTCGTAATAGTCTTTATTGCTATGATTGGTGGTTGAATAACACTGGATAACATTCATTGTGATCCTTTCTCTGTTTCAAAGAAAGTTTGGTTATTTATTGCAACTCACTGCGCGTGCGTCAAATTTTCATCTTCGTGACCAGAGTACAAGAACATCTTTCTCGATTCTATCTTTTTCTGTCGAGCTTGAGTTCAGTGGGTTTCACCGAGTTCGAGAACCGACACGTCTCATTTGTGTAGCTATTTGATTGATCCTTCCAGTGTCCCACATTTTCCTAGCATTCTATGTATCTAAAATGACCGATGCTGTTGTTTCTAGCAGAGATATCGAACTAGTGACTTCTAAAGGATATCAGCTTTCACCATGTGACGTCATAATTCTGAACGAAGGTCGTTCAACTCGGAGTGCAGGGTTTAAATGGTTTAATTCGTTTATTCTGCCTAACAATTTTTAGGAAGATTGGTTTTTATGGAACGGGGTCGCTTACCTCATTCCTAGCATTCCTTTTTTACCCGGGCTTGAGACTGGCAGTAGCTCTAGAAGAGCTACGGGCAGAGTACGAAATGGGTCCCCCATCAGGATGGTCACGTCCTTTCTTGGGCAGCTCTCTATGGCCGACTTTAGCCTCTCATTAGACTGATGTTTACCGTCTTAACTGCTAACATTGATGGGTCCATAGCACTGAACAACATTCATTGTGATCCTTTTTGTCTTTGTTTTCAAAGAAGGTTTGATTATTCTAGATCGATGAGATTTCCATCCTACAGGTGTTTTACGTGCTTTAGACAGCATCAGTGCAACTTCCTGCGCGTAAAACATCATAATTCTGAATGAAGATCCTTCAAATTGGAGGGCTTATGGCGAACTGTCATCTGATTTTGCAACCTCAAGTGGTGTCCGTCAGGGCTGCCCACTTTCTCCATTTTTGTTTAACTTCATCATAGACATACTGATGGAAATAACACTCGTCGACTGAATTCTCGGGTATTGATCTCCTTCCAGGAGGTCCACTTATCGACTTGGAATACGCAGATGACATAGTCCTGTTTGGTGAAGACGCTGATAGAATGCAGAGTCTTCTGGTAGCACTGAGCAGAAACCCCAAAATGTTTGGGATGCGCTTCTCCCCCTCTAAATGCAAGTTGTTGCTTCAGGACTGGTCTGCGTCAATACTTGAACTAAGGATAGGGAGTGAAGTTTTCGAATGAGTTGAAAACTTCATTTATCTTGGAAGAATGATCAGCCCTATAGGTTGGTGTCTGACGAAATCTCAGCACGGATTCGAAAAGCTCATTTGGCGTTTGCCAACTTACGTCACCTTTGGCGGAGGTGAGATATCCTTCTATCAATAAAAGGACGAGTATACTGCGCGGTAGTTCGTTCTGTTTTAACTTACGGCAGCGAGACATGGCCCTTAAGAGTAGAAGACACCCGTAAGCTACTAGTATTTGACCACAGATGCCTTAGAAATATTGCTGGGATCACCGGGTAAGTAATAGTGAGGTTAGACGCAGGGTATTAGGGAATGATGGTAAATCAGTTGATGAGGTTATGAATCTTCATCGACTGAGATGGTTGGGCCACGTATTACGTATGCCTGAATACCGATTACCACGACGTGCAATGCTAACCGGTGTTAGAGATGGTTGGAAGAAAGTTAGGGTCAGCCAAACCAAAACGTGACATCAGTGCTTGAAGTCACTAACTTATAGTCTGAGCCATGTTGGTAGATGCAGACTACTTGGTTGGGGTCCGCGTGACAATCGTAACCAATGGTTGGAGACTCTTGGTGACATGGCTCAGAATCGATCACAATGGCGTCGGTGTATACACTCTCTGTCTTCCCTTAAACTAAGAGATTAAAATCACTTCATATCTTTCTTTCTACGAACTAATTCTTTCTTCCTATACTATATCCTCATTGCAATCTTTCTCCTATATGTTACCACCTTTGACCTAACCACTCCTATGAATCCGCTGTTCATCTTGCTGTGTTAATGAGGTATGGCAACCTGGACCGATGCACATATGTGCCTGGTCCTACGTTGTAACTGACTGACTGAACTTGGAGGGCTGAGTTTAAACAGTTTAACTTGTTTATTCTGGTTAGCACTTTTTAGCAAGGTTGTTTTCTACAGGATGGAGTTGCTGACCCCACGCCCAACCCTCCTCTTTTACCCGGGCCAGGGACCGGCAGTAACCCTAGAAGAGCTGTAGATGTTGCTAAGTTAAACATATCCATGTAATTTTGTAATCGGTGGTAGTCGAGATAATTATTGAGTAACTTGTTGCAAATGCTTGGGACATTTTTGTACTTCAGTGAGAAGTCCCTCAGCACTGAACCACAAACTAATCATTGCTTTTAAGACTCACAAGTTGATTTCCAGTGATTTCCAGTCAAATATGCACATTTATCTAGTCCAAATTAAACATATATGAATACTTATTATTGTCTAACACAAATACCAAGTTTATCGTTAAAAAAGTAAGCACAACAGCTTCAGTTTCATCTCTAATGTAAATAATTACTTAAAGTTACATTAAGTTTTTAGACACTTTGTGGTTCAACTATTTTATTTGCTTTTACAAACCTAGGAAACAATGGAAGAAATTGACAAAAATAATGATAGCTTCGTTGATCTTGATGAATATATCAGTAAGTTTTCACCGTTGATGTATTTCTTCAGATTTTTTTGTCGGAAATATTCGGTCGTCAAAACTTTAATTGAATTGTTATTTTCAAACTCTATTTTTGGCTAAACTACTGATAGTATAACTTTTAAGGTAGGCAGAATAAGCCTGTTAATGAGGTTGTAGATGTCCATTGATTTATATGGTTTTGTCCTTTTCTAGGTATTCTAAATCAACAAGTCCTTTATAAGTGAAGAACATCCGTAGATTGCTAGTATCTGACCATAAGTACCCTTAAAGCATATGACAGGACCACCTGTTACCTAACAATATACGTGTAGAGTGCTAGGCAAAGATGGTAAGTCGACTGATAATATAGTGGATCCTCATCAACCGACGTGGTCGGAACTACTTGAATTCAACCACCTCTTACTTTGACACTCGATATTTCTTGATGTAGCAGATTGAGGGAAAAATATAGGTAACCAATTCATGATACCGGTCTATGAAGTTATTTTTAGTTAGTTATTTTAGTGGGTGCTGATCATGTAGTTCAGTTCCGCGCTATTGTGGCTAATAATTGGGCTACAATCAGCCTCAGTGGTGCACATACACTCATTCTTTGTCTCTCCTTAAGTTCTGAGTTCCAAAGTTATTTTGTATTTTTCATTCCCGCAAACTAGTTCTCGAATCACATTCTCTATGCTTAATTTGCTTTGCTAACACTGATATTACTACTTTCACCACGTTGATATATATATCGTTATGTTCACGTGCCGTGGCGTGGAAATGTGGACCGATGCATATATTTACTAGTTTCTATATTGCTTTCGACTAACTTTGTCCGCCTCTGATAATAGTGGAACTAGGTGTAAGAAGGCTAAGGGTTATCAGGTTTGTATGTATTATTATTTATTTATTTATTTTAACACATAGATATTGGTACAAGGAAGCACCAAATACATATGCGCCACACAGATCACATTTGATAAGTGTGAGGGCTGTGATACTGCCCGGGTGCCCAAACTGAAGCAGTTATATGTACTACTGGTTTATGGAGTCTCTATCTCTTGGTTTAAATTGTGGTACAACCGGGTAGGATCGCTAACTAAACCAGCGATGGAATACAAATGCAGTGAAGCTATTCGATCAAATTTAGACGAAAGTTCTTACGTATTATCCATGGTTTATTTCCCGATCCTTAAATATTTTACTACCTATTTCGACTAACTGACAGACTAATATTGTGATCAGTCGAGATTATCACGGGCTTTACCACTAAAAGGTTATTCGTTAGTAATAACGGAACAATTAGGTATTTCTACTGTTAATCATCTTTAATACTGAAGTTTTATATGGGCGGGTAGTCAACTAAAATACTCGTTGAGTCTACAGATTGTCGCAGAAGGTACAGAAACTAGTTGAGCACATAATGGGGCAAAAAATTATCCAGTTGATTCTAAAATGGGAATATTTAAGTCGAACTTTATGTCAAGTAGAATTAATTGTCTCACACTGATTAAATACTTGAGGACTTTGACCTTCAAACAGTATTTTTTCATTCATCTGACTACTGGTAAATTAGCTTGAAGAGTTAGTGAAGTTTTACGCTTCATCATTGATTTTTTATTGGTACTCTAAGTATCTTTATTCGATGTTTATTGGGAATTTGTCTTGTAGAAGATCTGTGGTCTCCGAATTCACCTAATGAAACGGAGCCTGAATGGGTTAAAACTGAAAGAGAGGAATTTGCCAAACGACGCGATATTAATGGGGATGGAAAACTGGATCTGGATGAGGTCGGCAAATGGATCGTACCTGAAGATTATAATCATGTCCAAGCAGAAGTAACCCATTTATTCTCAGAATCAGATGCAGATCAGGTAAAGCTTATGTTGATTATTGTGCCTTCGTAATTTTTCGTAAATATAATCTCAGATATGACTAGTGTCTTTATAATACTTGTCAGTTTGCCATTGTAGGTTTTTGTTGCTATTTATATCGAGAGACTTAAAAGGTAAGATGGCTCTTAATTGTTTTCCATGCTAATCGTAACCTTGTATTTTCCAACCAAAAAATTAGTTTAATATTGAACTCTGAAAATTTCTGGATCTAGAGAAGTATTTTCATTTGAATAACATGTGATAAATAGTATGTTATCCTTTTCGGGAAAGCCTTCTTTATGCTAGTGTCAGCAATATAGACTTGTACAATTATGACCATCCCCGTCATTTACAATGGTTACCAACTATCATTTTGTGTATGGGATACATGTCGATCTAATTTGTTCTCGGTAGAAACGAATTTTACTCAAACTTTTATTTTGTCAATTATATGTCGCATATTTTTTGAAATTTCTGTTAATATTATTTAGGATGGAAAACTCAGCAAAAACGAAATACTAAATCGTTACGACTTATTTGTTGGTAGCCAGGCAACCAATTTTGGGGAAATCCTAATTGGTCATGATGAGTTATAACAATGTGAAATCTGTCAGTGAAGTAATCCGACAACCGATTGTCTGTTAAATATCTTAAGGATCTTTTTCTTTTAAAAGTCTAACATTTTCTTGGTTCATAGTTTCTATCAGTTATTATACGTTATTACCTCTACTGCACAAACACCGTTAATTCATATGTTCTTGTTAATCAACACAAACTTTCAAAAACACTTGATTAATCAAGTGTGTCAATAAAATTTGTTGAAGGTCATACATTTTACAAGTGCCTATTCTAGCGCTTATTTTGTTTTTATCTTACAAACAATTTCGTCTATATTTTATTCTCTTGAGCTATCCGTTTATTTTCATGTTTTATACTTTTTAATCGTTTATTTGTATATGAATCAAAATAGTTTATTTGCCAGCTTCATTTTTAGTTGATCTCTTTTGTGCGCATGCTTGTCATTAATATGTTTTGTAATGTATAAAAATATATTATTGCTTTGCATGTATTTATTTTTGATGTTCAAAAATATGACTGATTTACTCATTGGTTAAAGAAATCTAAGTTTAGTGTTATTTTCTCGATTATTAAAAACTGCTATTCGTAAGTAAATGCAAGTTTGGTCAATCTTGTGTAAGCTTCAGTTGCTCCCGAGATCATTTATAATTGTTGACTCTCATCCCACACCTGTATGTATTATTCCCATTATTTGTGATTGTTGAATCACTCTTAAACTAACAGTCTACTACTAAAGGATTTCACAGACTAATTAACCTTTACTTCCGCAGACAGACAGTCAATTATTTGACTCCCCCTCATATACCCTTGTTTTCATAAAATACACCCATGCTATGATAAATAATGCATCACGGTTGACAGTAACACAGCTTCATCAACCAACTTTCTATCTCTACCTAGTACCCTTCATCTGTCCTCCACATTACTCTTTTTTTAATTGCAACATATGCGGGCTAGTTTAATAGAACTAGTGAGTTATCGGTTCATGGAACGTGGTCATGACCTAAATCCAAAGTCTTAGTACTTGTGAAGTTGTCCAAGGAAATTTGGGTCCTAGTTCCTTTATATTTTGCCCGATTTAGAGTTAAGCTACTCATAAGTAGCTCACTAATTCTAAGGCGAAATATGATTTTACTAAGACTGAAAATTATGCCCTTATTGAGATGCGAATTTCCTATCACCACTGTGATAAAACTCACTTGTATTCCAATTTCATGTAAAGTTTTCATCAAACCATTTTTGGTTATGCGTTATTCAAAGTGATTTTTAGGTTTGTAAATATATATCAAAATGATTGGAAACGAATGCGGACTGAGATTGACTAAGGTAATAGTGAACCTTAGTTATCTGGTTATTTTAGCCAGTGTAAGAACTGTCGTGTTTGATTTATACCTAATTTTCATATAATTGTGCTAACATATGTGAAAAGAATCGAAAAATTTGAGAACAGATGCTGTATTTTTCTTACATTATGACAATCTTTTCACTAAACGAGAAGACAAATTTAGAATTTATCTTAGAATTTGACAGTTTTTTGTCTGTATATCTGAATCTTAATTGTTACACTGATATGGAAGGTACAATAAATACTATTTCGTTAGTCATTATAGGTGGCCTCTTAAAATTATTTCCACACTTAAAAAGCTTCAAACTGTGGCGGCCTGCTTGAGCATCTGGGCTACCTGTTCCTGCCATCTAGATATTTCAACAAGTTATCTATTGTTGTTTGTTTTAATATATCATTATGTTTATTAATCGCATAACCTATTCTGCTGCGTTTCTGAAAAGTGTACAACCTTTCGTTGTCAAAGTTACAGAAAACTCAATAAGAGACAATATGGTTGCTGGCAATATACAACGAAAAGAATGTACATTATTCAGTTGTTCATTCACTGAAGTGCTAACATCTAACTGGCGATTCCTCAATATTTATCGCCAGGACCGACCAAGAAGAAAGAAACGGAAACTTGTTGAAATACTTTGCGCTGAGAATTCTATAGTGTACCGAAAACATAATATTGAATAAAGCTGATGATAATAATAATAATAATAATTTGAAATTAAAGGCAAGACCATTGGTCAGAAGGATAGTTTTATTATTGTCGCTAAGAAAGGAATAGGAATTGAGAAGGGACACTGATTATGAATACAGTGGTCTTTAATGCTGTTAGAGGTAGCTGATTGACTTATTGTCGCTACTTCATCCTTTGTAGGAATAACAAGTACTTTCACATTTGACTGACAATTTTTTTACTGAAATTACTCAGCTGTTTGATCTTATGTTGCCTCGTGAATCGTAAGTAGGTAGTTTAACTCAGCCGTAATGAATAATGAGCTAATGTTTAATATCCTAAGTAGTCATTCACTCAGTTACAACGTAGGACCAGGCACACACATGCATCGGTCCAAGTTGCCACACCTCATTAGCACAGCGAGACGAACACCGGACTCATAGAAGCAATTAACTCAATGGTGTAATTTATAAAGGAATGATTTTATGTAAGGATGTAGTACAGAAAGATGTGAAATAATTTTGGTCTCATAGTCAAAGAGTGTATACACCGACGCCATTGTGATCGATTCTGAGCCATGTCACCAAGAGTCTCCAACCATTGATTACGATTGTCACGCAGACCCCAACCAAGTAGTCTGCATCTACCAGCATGGCTCAGACTATAAGTTAGTGACTTCAGGCACTGATGTCACGTTTTGGTTTGGCTGCCCCTAACTTTCTTCCAACCATCTCTAACACCGGTTAGCATTGCACGTCGTGGTAATCGGTGTTCAGGCATACGTAACACGTGACTCAACCATCTCAGTCGATGAAGATACCATCATTCCCTAATACCCTGCGTCTAACCTTAATATTACTTACCCGATGATCCCAGCAGATGCGACCAATATTTGTAAGGCATCTGTGGTCAAATATTAGTAACTTACGAGTATCTTCTACTCTTGATGGCCACGCTTTGCAGCCGAAAAGTAGAACAGAACGGACTGCCGCACAGTATGCTCATCCCTTAATTGATAGACGGATATCTCACCTTGGCCATAGGTGACGTCAGTTGGCAAACGCCAAATGAGCTTTTCGAATCCGTGCTGAGATTTCGTCAGACACCAACCTATAGGGCTGATCATTCTTCCAAGATAAATGAAGTTTTCAACTCATTCGAAAACTTCACTCCCTATCCTTAGTTCAAGTATTGACGCAGACCAGTCCTGAAGCAACAACTTGCATTTAGAGGGGGAGAAGCGCATCCCAAACATTTTGGGGTTTCTGCTCAGTGCTACCAGAAGACTCTGCATTCTATCAGCGTCTTCACCAAACAGGACTATGTCATCTGCGTATTCCAAGTCGATAAGTGGACCTCATGGAAAGAGATTAATACCACAGAACTCAGTAGACGAGAACGTTATTTCCATCAGTATGTCTATGATGAAGTTAAACAAAAATGGGGAAAGTGTACAGTCTTGACGGACACCACTTGAGGTTGCAAAAGCAGATGGCAGCTCGCCATAAGCTCTGACTCGACTAGTAATGTTCGAGTAGAGAGCCTTCACAAGGTTTATGTACTTCTAAGGTACACCTTTCAGTGACAGACACTGCCACAGAACCTCTCGGTCTACAGAGTCAAATGCTGCTTTTAAGTCAAGAAAGAACACCATTGTCGGATGCCGATAAGTATGCCTGTGTTCTAGAACCTGACGAATGGTGAGTACGTGGTCGATGCAGCCACGACCAGGTCTGAAGCCAGCTTGATTCTTTCGTGTTTGCAGTTCCCGAGTCTTAGTTAGGCGCCCGATAATTTTGAGGCTAGTATTTTAGATGCTATATTAGTCAAACTAATCCCTCTATGGCTATCACCGGATGATTTTGACCCCTTCTTATATATCGTGACAATAAGTGATTGCGACCAGTCAGATGGAATAACGTCTAACTCCCAGATCCTAGCTAAAATATTAGTCAACCTAATTGCTAAAATTGGACCACCATCCTTAAAGACCTCTGGAGCCAATCCATTTGCCCTTCCTCGTTTCAGATTAACTATAGCCTTTTGAACTTCTGCTAGAGTTGGGTGACCTACTTCAATGTTCCATTCACACTGTCTGGGAATGGAGGGTAGTTGTAGAGTAGCTGAAGGCCAGTTGAACTGTTCTCTGAAATGTTCCGCCCATCGTTCACGTACCTCTCGAAGAACCCTTTCACGGTATGGGCAACTGGAAAGTGATTGCCGCCATCATACCTCTAAGAGCACTCAAGACCACTGTATTCATAATCAACCTCCCTCTTTACTTCCTATATATATATTGCAAAGAAGAAAGCCTACATTTCATTTTTCTAAAATATTGAACTGAATAAAAAGAAATCTTTTTGAACTATTGTTTAAATACCAATTGTACTAAAAACTTGTGACTAAAAGCTCTATCGTGACAAACCTGTCATGATTCGTATATAACAACAGGAACTGATTGGTTTTAGCGCCAAACATCAGCGCGAAGGTATAAACTCTTACTAATACCATCTTAGCCAAAGACATTGGTGATCATCCGGTCTCAGTGGTTTAAATGATAATGTTATTTGAAGCGAAAGTTATTGGGCTTGAATAACAGTGTGAACTTCAACTCTCGAACGTAGATAAATCTAACTGACAAATTTCAAATAGAATGAGATACGTTTCTTGGATTCTATTGTTAGTTACATACCAGATATACTGAAGCGTTTAGATATTTATTTGAAGTTAAGTGCCAGTTAGAATAAAGAAAGCGGATTAACTTTTATTCACGTACATTCTTCTGCACTTGTTACCTTTGGTGTATTAAGTTTCATTCCCCACAGATTTCCAATTGTTCTTTAGATGAAGTCAGTCTGTGATGGAAACTAACTTCACAAAAAACAAACCTATTCATCATCTTTTTTAAGTGAAGACTTATGGGTTGAGTAAATTCCACAAAGTGGTATTATCTCATTTTTATTCTTTACTTGTACTTTGTGAAAAATAGTTTATCACTCACATCACTTGTTATTAAACAAACAAACTTCTCTATCAACTGAAAATCTTCCCTGGGTTCGAGTCCCGCGTGCGCGCTGCTGAGGGGTCCCATACTGGGACGAAACAGCTGTCCAATACTCCTTGGTTTTCAATCGTGGTCTAGCTTAGATCTACTCATGAATTCGACTATTAAAATTACTACAATCTCTACGAACTCCGATTCTGATAAAAAATTGTCGTCTATAACTTTAAGTTTCCAAGTAAAATCATCCAAGTTAAAATCAAAATTTAATATTAAATAATCTTAATTAAGTTTGAACAGAAAATCGAAATTAAAATCTATGGCTTTTTCCAAGTGATTATAAATTATCATAGGAATCAGTGCTCCAAGTTATATTTTTAAGAATATCATTACTCAAATCGTTTCAAAATCCTAGATCTCCCATCACCACTACTAGATCGTTTCAAGTCTCACCCTACGAGAGGCAAAATGA